TGTACAGAAACCAATAAGAACTCCCTAAAATTTCCATATTTATCACCAATACATGTAGATATTTTCTCATACCACGCCTCGCCCAACTCACGAGCCCTCGTCGAGAACAACCCAACCTCCTCCTCCCTCTTGCACGCGCCTCTCTGTACAACCACATCAGACACTAGCAAGAGCTCTCCCTACAGAAAGGGTCTTCACCAGCATCTTGCCCATTCTCACTACAGCTTACCTTGTCATCGTTGCATGCCAGTATCCTCTCCTCGGGTTGATACCACACCACACGCAACTTCTTTCCCCTGAGCCTCGGTAGCAACCCTTTATCATTGAACTGAATGATGAGAACTCCATCACAGTGCTAGTATGAGCTGCTCAGTTACCTCCATCGTAAGACCGCTACTACTAAGATCAACCTAAGATGAATCTTTGACACTCATCCGTATCAGCAGCAACAACCCTACATGTTTAGACTTCTGGTCATACCCGGCCTTGGCGAGGACTTTTTGCACTTCTCTCGAGAGTGGAATTTTCTTTTTATTCTTCCCTTTTTTCAACTGCATCAGTAAGAACATCAGCCAACTCCTCGTAGGCTCACTTACATGATAGGCATTCCACAGCTCCACGCAGTGGGAGACAAATTCCCTCTGGCCACCCATTCCAGAGTAGACGTATTTCAGCTGAGTATTGCCACCACCACCCTTACGCTTTTTTGACCCTGTTACAGCAGAGTCCATAGTGATGAGCCAATTGCCATCATCGCTTTGTTGACATTTTGGAGGAGATTTAATAGTGACCTCGCATAGTTGGACCTAGGATACCTCTAAAGGGGCCTTCCGTTTCGGTCAACTCCACCTCAGATTGAGATTTACCGTCTTGATTAGTATCTTGGCCGCAGAGTTGTTGTAACTTCGTAATCTGGAAAATGAGAGAATTTTGATAGGAAATTTTCAAACCCCTCAGCTGCGTTCTCACTAATTATGGTTAAGTTCAATTAGTAATCACAGTTGAATTGAGATATTTGATTTCATGTATACATTGGAGTTTTACCCGTTTAGCGTGAAATGCCGTAATACGCCGTATTTCTTCCCGACCGAATACACTAAAAGAATTTTGGAATATGTTTTTTCCAATCACGGGTGAAACTCCATCAGATTAATGTCATTAATTTAGAGCATTAATTGTAGTTGTAGAAGTGCACAGGAATGAGAATTTCCCAAACTAGGAATTCTGAGACAATCGGGAATCCCAAATTCTCTTGTATTATCCCAACACAGAAAATGCAAGAAACCTCGCGAAAACCCCAAACTCACGTACTGAGTCTTTTTGATGTGTTATCGAGGCGGTAGTGGGCATCTTGAGCTGAAGAATAGGAAACATCATCTACTCGCAGTTGCCTCTACACTGCTTACCTTCACTTGGTGCGGGAAGGATTTCGGGCTCTCCCATTCACGGAAGGTTATGTCAATGCCGTGCTTGGGCATCTCGATGTGTCGGTGAAGGGCACTGGTCTCGGTACCATTAACCTGGTAGAACCTCGTGATGAGGGAGATGGATGGTATGTAGCCTACTACTGGGAGGGGAGATGAATACAATAGGAAGAGACAGGTCAGGGAGAGCCTATTGACGTTGGGCATATGACGACAGACTGGAAGCTACTTCGATGAATGTGCCCAAGCTGAGTAAAGCGACATGTAAATCATAGCAGTGCTGGGCAGAATAGAGAGCAGTGCTATGCCCTCCCTCCTAAGGTGTCAGCCACAGTCTAGTGGGAGGGTTGGGCTGGTAGCCCACGGGGTAGTAGAAGATACTCTTTCTGTTTCCTGAAGGATACTAAAATAAGTGGAGAAATTAGGGTATACTCTACAAACTGCCATTCGGGAAGTCCCCAGTTCAATCCCCGGTGCCTGTCTACTTCCCTCCTGAATCGTGTCTCTCAAGAATCCTTGCATCGTTGGCGTCCTATAAGTTGTAGCAAGTGGACACTGAGGAGCTTGGAGGCTCTCCTCCTCCTCCGCGTGGGTATTTGGAGGACCCCTCGTCAAGGCTCTGGTTCCAATGCTTACATTCTGATGAAAATATTGTCGAATAGGTCTCGAATGGAAATTATACTATTGATCTAAGTATTCGCGTTCGCCCTGGAATTTTACTAGCTCGAAAATTAATAGAATACCAGTTGCGCGTGCGTGCGTCCGTGGTCATGTTCCCCGCGTTCCCAGAGCGTGTCTCATCGGCTAGTTGACTGCTAGATGCCATTATGGTCTCCAGGGAAATCAAAGGATACTAGCGTACGAGCAAGTGAACCTCATGAGACCAATAAGGCTCGGGTAAGGCTGATCACCTGTCACACTGCACGCATACCCATTGTTCTTCTCTGTTATATGCTGTAATCAGGCATTAGTTGAGAATTATGTCTCTTTAGCTGAGTCGCCGGAAAGCATATTTCGTCACTTTTTGTCATTTTCATGCACTTGTACAAACTTACCGATCTGTGCGTGTGCGTGCATGCTTTGGCAAAGGTAGCTTGGTGAGCTGCAAACTTGTAGTATTGATTGGCGTAACCTCTGTGAAGGGCCGTAAGAAGCCAGAGGACAGTGGAAGTCAAAGTGTGTCATATATATATGTAAGGAGCTCTGTGTCGTTGGCTCAACGAGGCTACTTCTGCTGAGTTGAGTAGCTGACTGGGCAGCTTGCCAAAAGCTGGTGACCCTAGATCTGTGGGCACCTTCTATGAATAGGATGGAGTCCATCCGATGGACTTATCTGAGGTGGATAATCAGCACTACTGATGGATCCAAGTTTTCGAATCCCACGAGAGACCACTGTTCATATGTCGGAATTGAGTTTGCGAAGTATGCGGAGCGAAGAGTGTTTGCGAGAGTTTCGAGTTCAAGAGTTAGTAATCGAGTTAGTAATTGACAAATTGTGGACGACCCGTCTGGAGATGTGGGATACTAAGTAACTAATCTGTCAACCTTCGGGTTTGTTATTGCCTCCACACCATATAGTCTCCGAGAGTTCTGGATTTGTGACTGATGGCTGTGATCGATACTGACGAACTTGGCGAGGATGGTCAGGCGCAGGGTGGCTGAAGGCTGAGGAAGAATCATTCTTCCCTTCCCTAATAATTCCCGTTTTAGTTCCCGGGAATAATGACTGGTCAAAAAGGGGAATAATAGACCTTATTTGGGGAATTATTGTACAAAATCGCCTTTTTCTCCAACATCACCCCAAAAGAAAGTCCGAAAACATACATAGGCGTCTTAGAAAACCTTCTCGGCCGTAAGGCCGAAAAAAATACGAGCTTTCTCGCATCCTGTCACTTTTTTGATATCGAACGTCACTGACGTTACGTCAGGGCGAGCGCGTGCGAGATGTTCGCAATTCGCAAGTTGCACAACGGGTCAGTAACTGGCCGCCAGTGACGTTGCGTTCATACCCCACTGTCAACTCCTTCTCCAACGTCAATTAGTAGTACAGCGGTTGGGGTGTTTGTCAGGGTTAGCTGTTGGCAACTGCCTGTTGCTGTGAAACAGCTCCCTGACGCTCTCGACTAGTCGTACATTTTGTGCCTTGTGAATGATTCACTGCCAAGTCTTGAGTGGTTTACACTACTGACTTGGCTTAACTCGTACGCCACCGTGACGTACTACCGTAGTACTACTACGACTAGTCGAGGGCCCCTGTACCACTAAAGAAAAAAAAATTGTTCATACCGTAGTTGAAACAGAATCGCTGCACATAACTCCATGGACTCTGTTTATTCGACAATCTGTTACCAACGTGAAATTCTTTATGCCCGGAGCGCGAGTTCGTCGCGCTTCCGAAGCACGTAACTACCCAAACTGATGCCACATATGCAAAGGTAAATGCGGCGAGCGCCATTTCCCCCATTGCGTTGTGCAGTCGTTGAACTTGCTCCCTTACAGAACCTTCACTCAACTCCTTCTCCAACGTCAATTAGTAGTACAGCGGTTGGGGTGTTTGTCAGGGTTAGCTGTTGGCAACTGCCTGTTGCTGTGAAACAGCTCCCTGACGCTCTCGACTAGTCGTACATTTTGTGCCTTGTGAATGATTCACTGCCAAGTCTTGAGTGGTTTACACTAGTGACTTGGCTTAACTCGTACGCCACCGTGACGTACTACCGTAGTACTACTACGACTAGTCGAGGGCCCCCATTTCAAACGCCCCGCCCGCTGTACAGTTACTGTAGCGCCTGGCCTACGTTGCCGTTCTGGTCGGC